ATTTATGAGCTAAATATTGACATCGACTCAATCTATCTATCCAACCTCGGGATTTCAATTTGCGGTTAAATTCCTCCATGATAACGACCTAGTTTAGACTTAAGATCTCATAATACCTATAGGTATGCCTCTTACGTATTACATGGAATTACCCTTACATCAATTGAAATCTAAAACTCCAAATATAAATTAAACTCCATAACCGATTTGGACTCGTATAGAATTCGGATCAATTTTCTAGACTAGAATATGAAATATCATTTGAAGGCCTAAAAAAAACTTGGATTTTGAATTATTATATCATTCTAGAAAGATTGAGATGTCCTCTACAAAGTCTTTGAAGACCACTTCTTCCAAATCCACATCTAAGCTTCGGAAAACCTATAAGACGTTTGAAAGGCCTAAGTTAATCATATTGCACATCCACTCGGTTTCCTTCTTTTTTTTTTTTGACACGACCAGCAACTATTTCTTCTTCTATCACACTCGGTCGTATGACTCCTAAGCGTTCTTGGTGACTTTTGCTTCTCCTTACTTTGGTTTTGGATTTTTTTGCTTCAATTCGTTATTTTTCCTATAAAATCCAAAATCATTATCTTGATCTTAATTTACTAAATATAGTAATATAAGCATTAAAAATTTTAATATAAAAGTGCATAAAAATATGCTAATTATGCACTTATCAATTTAGCACATACCCAAAATTGCTTCTCAAGCATCTTCACCATTATGTGTCTTTTCTATTTAGCAAAAATATGTCTAGCACACCACCTATGTTCTGCTCTAGGTACTAATTCCTCTAGAACAGCATATAATCCCTATACACATAGATAATTAATTAGATTAGAAAGACAAACTAAAATTAAAGGAATATCAATGAACAATGCATACTTATTAATATTTTGCCTATCTTTTTTAAAGTCCATCCATATTCATTTTCATATGGAATCCAACATTTTCTATCAAAATTTATATGAACTAGATCCAATTATCTTTATTTTCTCACTTCACAACAACCTAGCACATATTATACATTTGATTGTTTACATCTTTGCCAACAACTCGATAACACTTTCTATTTCAATGGACCCTTGAATGCACCATCTAACTCTATAATTTCCCTACACCCTACCTTAAAGCCTTTTTTTCTTAGCACAAAAACATACATATATTCCGTTAAACCTATTTAAACCCTCCTCATTCTCTTCTATTTTAAGAATGATAGTATTATTGTCATTACATCTTCTCAACTTAGTTGTATAATCTTCAAGCCTCCTAAACTCATCCTTTATATCTCTAAAATAAGTTAGCTACATCAAATTCTTTGTATGTTTGGCTCGTGATAATGTAATCCGCACTTTTATATCCGACATATTGTCTTCTATAATCTCATGCAGCTTCTTATTGAGTGGATTTCTTTTAAGCTTTTTCATAAAATACTCGGTAATAAATCTATAAGTAACCTTGGAATTTATGAATGACTAATCACATTGTTAGGCGAGCATAAGTCTTCACCATCCATTTTTTGGTCCTCCCATCAATAGAAACTAACAGACTTCCAAGGACAAAGGCCATTTTTACAAACAACTCTATACCTATATTTGTCATTTCTAATCAGCTTCAAATCTCTCATATTACTAATGACATAGTTAATCACAAGCAGCTCGACCTCCTTCTTATTCTTAAAAATCATACGAAGCTGAAAATGAGGAGGATCCGAAGTCGGGTCAAACTTGACCAGTCTTTTTCTCTTTCTTATGCCTAACTCTTCATCACTACTATTGTATTACCAATCCTTCTCTTCATTTGAATTTCAATTCTTTTTCTAGTTGTTCTAACTCTTTTATTAATTTCCTTCTCTTCTAATTTCCTTTCATATTTCCTTCTAAATTTTCTTCCACGTTTTCTTGTAAGTTTCCCTCCACATTTCTCCCTAAGTTTCCCCCACATTTCTATCTAAGTTTTCCTCTAAATTTTCTACTCGAATTTCCCTCTAGAATGAGCTTACTTTTACCCACTAACATTGTTTTTGTCTTTTTCAAACCTTCTCTAATTTCTCTAGCTTCCTCATCATCTAACACCCACTATACATCCACCCAATATTCTACATCTTCCACATCATCATATGCCTCATCATCACCCTCTAAATAATACACTAGCTCACTCACTTTATTGACATTCTCATTGCCCACAACATTCTTTATTTAATGTCTCACTCGCCCTCACTTATTCCCACACACTTAACCTATCCGGATTGACCTATATTGACACTAATGTCTTTACCAATATTAGCAACACCATGGTCCCCTACATGGACGAGTACGATCCACAACACTATCCATATTTTTATCATTTACTTCCTATTCAGAACTATCCTCACTAATCTACTCGTCCATGTTCATTTATTTCTAGCCTTTTACATACGAGTTTTGGGTTATAGTAACCAAGGAATAGGCGAGACTAAATCACTTCTCTCATAATATATGTTAATCATCAAGTCTTTACACAACATATCACATATAGGCAAACAACTTTTATCATCCTTAAATTCTACAAGACTTTGTTCAAAATTCAATTGAGGGTTTAACATTGTATAATAAACGAGTCTTGCATTTTTTATATCAATACTCCTTCGCATGTTCTAAAATCCCTCTAAATTGTATTAAATTAGGATCTACATTAATTCTCTTAACAACCTCAATTTCACTAAAAGATAAACTTTTTCTCCTTCATAATTTAATTTCAAAATGAACCCTTAATGTTGACATTAAAAGTCCTACAATCTTTGAGGAGACATGCAACAAAAAAACATAAAACATAAAAGAAAAAGTTTAAAGAATCTCACAGTTTAAAAGGACCACATCACAATCAACACATTGTCAAAGAAAAAGACAAAGGCAAATACAAAATTTTAAAGAATAAACAACACAAAACTAAACCTATACAAGCCCAAACAATAACTCACAAGTAAATCCATATAAGTCATTCAAAAATTAAAATTATTTCCTAGACTATAGACAAAAACTTAAAAGACCACAAATTCATATTTAAACAACAAATATAAAACTCATAAAATAACAAATTATTTTGACAAAACCTATAACGAAATTCAACCCAATAGACAATAGTATAAAAAACAAAAAGAAAACATATTACTTATCCTGTTTTTCGAATTGCGATTTGTTTTAATTGCGGACGAAATTTAAATAAAATGCAACGAAGTAGAAAGAGAGAGGAAAAGTTAAAGAGGAAATAAGGATTAGGATTTATAATTTGAGAATTAGGGATTAGGGATGAGGGTTTGAAATTTGAGAATTATAGATTCTAAGTTTTGATTGCGGATCAAAAGAGAAAAGAGAAAAAAATGAAATGAATAGAAAATAGAAGCAGATTTTTAGTTTTAGATAGGTGTGTTCGTTTGGTTATTCGGTTCGGTTTTGAAATATTTTGGATGATTTTTAGTTAATCAAATTTAAAAAAAAAATAACCGAAACCAAAATGAAATGTTATTCAATTTTTCGATTCGGTTTCGATGTTCGATAATTCAATTTTTACCCATTTTATATATTTTTTATTTTTTTACAAATAATTAATTTTATTAAAGTTCCCGAAATCTTTATTTAAAGTGAGTTTCTTTTTACTTTGTTGACTACTAGTTAGAAACCTAAGTTACATTCAAAAAAATAACAAATACATTGGTAAATAAACAAATAATAAATTGTTTACTAAAAAAAACTTGAATTTGAAACAATTAAAAATCTACCCACGTCATTATTATTTTTTATACATCCGGACTTATAATAGAGAGAAAAAGAGCACAAACGATACTGTGGGAGGAAACACATCTAGGAGAGAAGGGTTTTTTAATTTGGAAATACATTGAGTGATCTAACTTTTATATATATATATATATATTTCGATTAACCGAATTTAAAAAAATAATGATAATAAACAAAACCAAACCCGAAAATGAAAATTATTTCAATTCGATTTTTTATTTTAATTTTTTTTAAAAAAAAAACAGCACCAAAATTGATATTTCGAGTGCAATTCAATTATTCGATTTTCACCAAAGAGTAAACTCTCTTAGTTTTATAGGCTAAAAATTGAATTTTATTTTCCTAATCTATTTTTAAATTTAGTGTTTAGTTATTTAAAATTTATCAAAAAAAATTTTATTTTCATTAAAACCAAATTTAAACACATAACATGTGATAAGCTATCATTAGTTAAAGCTTATCATGTGTGCTTACATTACACATTAAGATCTGAAATAATAACATAAAAATAAAAATCTTAAATTAGACAAAAAGAAAAAAAGAAAAAAGTATAATCAATCACCTAAAACTTAAAAACAATGGATGGTGAATTGGCGATTCACAAAAGGTACGCTGTGAACTGAATCCCCAAAAAATGCCAAGCCCGATCACCTGACTTAAAATTAGTAGAATTCAATCCACGTCCAGAAATTCTAGTACTGCAGTAGTACCAAAGACAATCATCCTGAAAAGCGAAGTGCACTCCCAAACATGTATATATGCTATTCACAACAGTTTGGTTCAGGGTTATAAGTCATCGGAAAAGATATGAAGTTAACTATTTTACATCCCTATGTTCTACTGTCCTTCAGTCAAAAGAATGTTATGCCTAATCAAAACTAAGGCATTTGAGCATCTAAATCTAGTTCAGCGCTACACAATTCCACCCTCTATCAGAAAGGAGAGGATGAAAAAAATGAATTAACACGACAAGTAAAAATAGGAAGGGCAGTGTACCAATCAATTTATGTACAGGTTGGTCACAAACCCCTAACAAAAATCTACTTTGTAATCAGATCGTCAAACAAAGTACATAAGTACACAACATGACAACACGAGTCCTGGTTCCTGGGACAGGACAGAGTGAGTGACTCTGCCTTACAGCAAATTGCAACACTCCACCAGATACAACCCTATTATCAGCAGAAACACCAACAGCATCGATCTATGGTGGATATTCAATCATTTCTCAGATGAATGATATAAGTGTGACCTTTTGCGAGGGCAGCCCTGGTCAGTTACGAAACTAGAGTTTCTGCAAAATACATCATCAAATCAGCACAGAAGAATCAATAGAATCACAACTTTGGGTTTCCACAAATAAAAAGAAATGAACTTACAAATCATCATTATGTTTCTTACTTCTTGATGGCTCCTGTGTTGTCTGAGATGGTCTAGCTGCCTGTCAAAGGTACAATAGCTCAGTTTCTTGTCATCCTTTGCATTGACAGATGTAAATTTTCATGTTTTCACATAAACATGATTGTCAGCATCAATGTTATATATAAAGGTAATTGCAACAGCTGCAGCAGCTGTATTTATGACACTGCTGATATCAACCGATGAGTTTTCATGCAATTAATCTGAAGGCCAAACTGATGGACCAGTGGTACACTTGAAAAAAAAAAAAAGCACATGATAAAAATTACTAATGAAGTTCAACTCAATACTAAGAAGATATCATTTGCTTAGAAAAAATCAAAACAACAAATATAAGATGATAGAAGTTCTGAAATAGAACTGTGTCTACGGATCTGCAAAGTAGAAATCACTTGTAACAAGCATCAATTGCTGGCGGGGAACATAGATATTTTGACAGGATTATTATATCTAATATATATCTTCAGAAAGCATTCATTTGATTTAGTAAGATATTTGTAGATAAGCATACTAACAGGGAGATTTAATTGCCTGATGCTCCTGCTATGGACTTCCAGATACTCTTCATATGTCTGTAACAATCAGGAGAAAGACACTTAAGAGCATAAAAGATGCAACAATAATCTATCATCATTAAGTTTTCTCAATAGAAGATAATTGTGCCAATTTTACACATAATAACAGATGGTCATCTAGAAAAGATAACTTTGAGTGTCACGAACAATGAATATTCATCTCCATTTGCCTCAAACACTCTGCAAAGTTATCATGCAGCAGTCAAGGATGGGATAAAGCACATGAAACCTAAAATTTATTGAGGATTCAATGTTTGTTTGACCGGAGGTGGGTAACGCTTGATGAGTAGTTTATTGATATAGAAAGATTAACATTAGAGTGAATAATTCTTCCTTTGGACATTACAGAAAGAGGATGATGCAGTGGAGTTCAATTAATTAAGTAATCTAATCCAATGAAAATTGACTTTTTCTTCATGAGAGATTTGGAATTGCTGACTAATATGAAAATAAGAAAAAGAAAACATTGGAATAATAACACTAACAAATTGAGAATCAGAAGCAAGAGTTTGAAATCACTTAAAACATGCGTTTACTTCATCTAATTCCAAAGAAAGTTCATTCAATTTCTCATAAAAGAAGAAACACAAATAACCAGGTGTAGATATACGTTATCCCAAGTTCAGAGAAACTAAGGTAGGACACTTCATACCATGTCAAGAAAATCATCATCAGTCAGAGTACTAGCAAGAGGACTTTCTGCTGACAAACCCCAAATACCAGTTCTTGAAGACACATCACAGTGTATTCGCAAATTAGTAGAGTTTCGAGACTGTTTCATCCTTGCAACTTTTGAAACACTAGAACCAAGAGCACTGTCAGTTAAACCAGCACCAGTAGGTCCCTGATGTGCTAAATGAAATCTACTTGCTTCATCATGTTGCTGGTAGAGGAAAGAAGGATAAGGCACGGGTGTTCTGGCCCATGGCATCTGCAGCGGAGGGACAGTATACTCTCCATCTCCTGTGTAACATGAAGGCTGTATGCAAGGCCTTTTCATAGGAAGATCATCCCTGGGAAAACTGTTACTATGAGAAGTCAAAACAAAAAAGTTAATTTGGCAAAATGCATAAACGTGCAGCTTATAGGAAAATAATACCTTTTCCCCATTCCACCAGTGTCACTCTCTCCATCAATTAGCTCACAAAGGGCTTCTCCTATATCTTCAGGTAGTTCCTGGAAGAATGGAATTACAGATGTACAATTAACAACTTAAAAGTGCAGCAAGGAGTATAAAAGCACTCTACAAAAAAAAGGGACACCTGGCAATCTCTGCTAATTTTAACAGGTTTGTAGTCATTCAGTGGATTCTTGAGATTAAGCGTCTTTTGGAAAGGTAAGTCATTTAATCGCAGCCATTTAACCTTAAAACTGCGACCCCAAGGATTACTTTTACCACTTCCTTCGCTCCATACATTGTCATGCCTCCACCCAACGGAAGACAACATTTGGGCATACCCTTGGAAGAAACCACTCATGTTGACACTATATATTAGAATGACTCTACCAGAACTCTGCAAGACAGGCATATGCTTCTCTATAAAGCATCAAGATTAAAAAAGCACCACATGACATTTAAAATAATGGGGCTCTTACATGAAAGGCTTCTTCCAAAATTGGTTCATTCCTGACTTGAGTAGCCCATATCCCATTCTCAATTGATCGTTGGATATTATGATGGTTCAAACTCTTAATGATGAAGTATCTTGTATTACACAATTTACCCTTTTTTTTTATAGATGAATATCCCACCCGATCACGACCTGTTTTTTCAGCCATAATAGGATAGCCATCCTCATCACTTTTGTAGCTTGGGCTTTCTGACAAGAAACAAAGATCCTATGTTAAACTTAATATGCATTTTGACACATGAATGTGATTGTGAAAAGTTGAAAAAGAGGGGGAAGTCAGAAAAGAGAGAAAATGCATGGCTGAAAAAGGGCAGAGAAAATATGAACACTATCGTCTCTACCTCTTACATCATCGTATGCAGTAGCCAAATGGTAGACTTGTAAACTAACCTTAACTGAAATGTATGCCAAAACACATATATAGTGGGCAAATCAAGCCCGCATTGAACTTCTCAAAAAGTGCCTATCAATCAAAAGATACATTAGTTCTGCAATGCTGAACAAGATTGTGGGCTCACAATACTAATTACTACTTTCTCTGTCACAATAAAGCCAAGGTTAAGACAAAATTCTTGTCACACAATATGAACCATAAAACTTCCAAACCCCATCAAAGATAGCTCTAAGTTTCCTTAGTTCTTGACCTACAAACCATTTATTATCCCAGTGTCCTCTGAATTACAGGTTACATAGAAAACAGTACATTACCGAGAGCAGACATTTCCATCAACAAAACCAACTCAATCAAAATTCATGCAAGGTTTCAACTTCAAGGGTAAATGGTTGGAGAATAGTGGCTCTGTCCATGTATCCCCCAGTTCTGTGATTTGCTCAGTATAAGTATCAACATGCTTGCATCCCAACATCAGTGTTTCTTCAATAAAATATAACACTTATTTTCTTGAGGAGAAAAAAATACATTACTCTAAACTGGCTCCCTCTAGTCCAAGAAAGTATCTTGTATCTACACAACAAACTATTCATATCCTCAATATCATTTCCAGTCACAATAATGTAAGCAAGCTGCACACTGAGAGCTCATTTAAATTACCAATAAATAGCCCTGTCTCCCTATCCTGCTGGTGTTCAAGTTTCAAAATGGTCTTTGAATACATATCAAGCCAAAGCATAGGAGCTCAACTTACTCCATGTAGTGACGTGCACAATTCCCTTGTGCATAGAGATAAGAAATCAAAGAGCAACTTGATACATAATTCCCCTCCTAAGTCCCATGAAGGAGAACATTCTTTACAATCCTTAGGAGACACTATCTAGGTATGCTTGGGCCCTTCTATCTTCCTGTATAGGTTTGCAGAGTCTAATGTTTTTATAAATGATAGCTAATCCGAAGCCTAGTAAAGGAGGAAGTCCATGAATAGATGACCAACAGAACCAAGGTGCTAACACCTCTTTCTACATCACTTTTTATAGGAATTATTCCAAAAGGAAAATATAGGTATTGATTAAATGAAATCCATGATCTACCTATGATTTTTAAACTATGCAACAGAAAATTCTAGCCACTGAATTACTGCAATCGCTGTAATTGGATCCATTAATGTAATTCTTGACATAAAGCAGATGGATATTTGCACATCGTTCGTTACAGAATTCCAGGCTGATAGAAATGCATCCCAAATAATTACCTACTGTGCAACAAAGGAGAGCATCAACAAAAGAAGGAAGCAAGAGAGAGATGGTGAAAATTCCACTCCACTAACATTTCCTTGATAATGCAACCATGCCAATGGTGAAGATGAAAGTTTAATGAAGTAGATATGCAATAGATGATACTCTAGTATAAGAAATTACAATATATGAGGAAAATATAATGAAAAAGAACTTGTATTATTTTGTTACCTGGATCATCAGAGTTTCCTATGTCATGCTTCCATTCAGTCACTGAAGAATCAACTACGGATGCATTTTCCTTTGCACTATCAGAAGACATATCCTTCTTGGCCTCCTATGTCCCAACTCACAACACAGGACCTATCAACAATTTTTTTTTTTTTTTCATTTCAATGTATAAAAAATTCAAAGAACACACAAAAAAGAGGTGCACCCCAATAAAACAAGATGTGAACAGAGCACGCGCAAAAAATAACACCAAAACATCCAGACCAATAACAATACAATAAAATATTCTAGCAAATCCTTTCACTGACACTCAAAACAACCACCAAGACATTACTTAACAGAAATCATACCAGATTCTTTTGGTTCGAGGGAGACTCAACCCCAACTCCCTGAGTCTATGAAGGGAAGGAGATTACTAGGAGCCAATTGAGCTCTGTCTCGTTGTCACAAAAAGCAGCACTAACACAAGCAGTAAAATAGAAATATGATCTGCACTTTCCAAACTTGCGCCCAACGAATTCAATTTAGTAGGAAATTACAAAAGTAATGTTTCTTGAAGTTTAGCGTAGGATAAAAAGCTCTTAGAATAGGCACCTTCCCTTGCACAGAAACTATATTTTCCACCTCCGCCAAACCCTTTCATTCAACCTTAAACTCTCCAGTCCAGTAAATAATTCACTACAATTTACCCTACTTTTCAGAGGAAAAAAAAAACTGTTTGATCAGCGAGAAACTTAAGAGGAAAAAACAATAGTTAGCAACAAATTTGCGTTTGCCTCGAAAACTCCCAGTTGATATTCAAATATCAGTTTATCAAGATTTTCCTGCATTTACAAATATTTTCTCATTCGCGAAGGGGAAAAAAACTAATTCATAAACTAATCCTCTTTATCTGACCAAAAAAAAAGAAAAGAAAACCAGAATCATAACAAACAAACAGCATACAAAACAAAGTAGAGAGATCTAAAGTAGAATAAGGAGTGAGAAATGGAAGTGACGACTCACCTTTTCAAGAGACAGAAACAGAGAAGCGAAGCGAAGGGAAGAGAAAAACAGCAAGATTTGTGTGTGTGTGTGTGTGTGTGTGTGTGTGTGTTTGGTACTTTAGATAAGTGTGTGTTGCGTGTTGGACTTGTATCTTTGAGCCCTAGCCCTTTTCTTTTCTTTCCTGTTCTTGTTTTTTTCCCCCTTCGAAACTGAACAAGAACTCTCTTCTTAGGGAAGGACAGTGTCGACTTGATACTGCACTCTACACACGCGCACGCACAATTTTGTTTTTTTGTTTTATTTTTTTTAATTATTATTACTTTTCTTGAACTGTCTGTTTTTATGGGTTTCTTTTTTCTTTTTATGGGCGGTCCAGATTGATTTGGTAAAAGACCATCCGATTGTCAGGAGTGAGAGTCGTGGGGATGTAAAGAAGTCAAAGGAAAGTGATGGGCTGGGTTAAATTTTATTGGGCATGTAAAACTTGGATAATGATATTAGTGATGATGTTAACAATGGACATCCAAAATTAAATCTCTATATTTCATTCCCTAGCAATCTCTATATATTATTAATTCTTTTAAATTTTGCTAAATCTCATGTTTGGAACCAACTCTTCCTTCAAGAATTAATTTCAGAATTTAAAAAATTCAAGATTTTGAAATCGCACCCAAAGAGCTGCAATTTACTTAGAATTCCAAATTGAGAGCCATTGCAACATTCTTATCTCCATAATGCCCCAGCAGCTATCACATACATAAAGGGTATACATGTCCTGATAAAAAAATATTATGGTTTCATTTTCACCTATATTTCCTTTCGAATCCCTTCACTTCCAGCTAAATACAACCAGGATTAGCTAAGAAGAAAATTTGAAAAAAAAAAAAAAAAAAAAAAAAAAAAGGGTGTGACACAAAAAGTTGTGCATAGGAGAGAGCTGTTGATTCTCATCACCAAATGTGCCGTGGATAAGAAAATTAGTTCAAATAATTCCTTTATTGTCGTGGATTCTTTTTTGTGGCCTCAGAATAAGATAAGATAACTTTGAAACAAAAGATTTTTATGATGTGGTTGATAAACAGCTTATAAGATAGTCTATCTTTCATACTCTCAATTAGACGATTAAAATAATAAGTTAAAAAAATTAATTAGATTTTAAGAGATTAATGAAAATAGATTCAAAACATAAATCAACTCACAATAACTAATTTTAACAAGTTTATAACTATAGATTACAAAGCCAAATGAAAATAGGAGTTTGTAAATACTGAATTAACAATCTTTACAAATAATACTGACTTTGGAAGCATAAATAACACTAACTCTAGAAGTAAAAACATAAAAGCTTATAGATGCTAGAGCTTTGAAACAAACTCCAAATATCAAGAGACGAAATCTACGTGTGTTACAATGAAAGTAGCAATCGAACCGAAATGATATATCAATCTACGTGGTTACAACTTACTTAGTTACTCTTTACAATCGCCTATTGTATTTCGAGTGTTTGAACTGAAAGATAAAGCCGATAATTTACAAGAGTATTGTATTGTATTTTGTTCGTTATATATTGTTTTTTATAGCTGAAATTGATATTTATAACCCTTTCAACCTTCGCGTTCTTTTATAATGGGCACGTTCTTAAACTACAATAACTTCTTTTCTTAAACTACAATGCTTTATGTCCGCAACATTCCACTTTCTCCGGCATTCCCACTCTTCCAATACAACATATCACGTTCTTCTTATTGTCGATTCTAATTATTTAGTTATGTTAATCTACTCTTGCACTGAGAGGATTTGACTTTTCATGTTTTTTTGCCCACATTGCCATTTTGTCAAGAGTCATACTAAGTCTTCCTATTTGTATAAACTTTTTTTGGGCTTTTTTCTTTGTATGGGCTTGTCTAAATTTTGTTTAGTGGATTAGGCTTTAGGTGTAATAATAGCTTTTAAGGTTTTATAATTGAAGTATCATTAAGCCCAAGCAAATTTAATTAGGTCTGGTGGATCCTAATTAATTTGGGTATAACACTTGTAAAACTCGATTACTCTATGTGATGGGATTTCTTTGAAGGTAATATAATAACATCTCAAATTTTTATTTGTTTTGTTATTTTGTTTGTAATATACTTGTTATAATTGAATTCAACCATTTCTCTTTCGCTTTTTTTTTTTTTTTTTACTTCAATAAGTTGTATTTTGCTTTGTAATTAAGTAGTGTACTTAACCCCATAATGGATCTTATAACTCAAACCTTGAATTTATAACATTTAGTACAAGTTAATATTATTAATATCAAAGATTTTTTTTTTTTTTAGCATTGCAAATGTATTTATATACCTTTGACCTTAATAAAAATTGACGAGAAGCCAACTCGTATATTGTTAAAGTGTTGGGAAATCTATTGATGTCGACAAAAGTAATTAAGGATTTAAGGAAAAAGAAAAAAATATTTCACCGAAGTGCAAGCAATGCCTCGAGCATACTTTACCTTTAATCAATTCGAGGACTTCATTGTTGTTTTCTTGTAGATCTAAATAAACTCGCACCCCTATATTCTTATATTATCAAAATTCAACACATTCATCGGTTCCACATTTACATGGTATGTAATATCACATGCTTCGATGTTTAAAAAAAATTTTGAGTTAGTAAATTCATTCTAGAACTTAAAGTATCTAAACAATAAATATTATGAATACTATCCCACAAGAAAACAAAGCAATAAGAATATATTATAAGAAATTTATAAGCAATTACATTAGTAAAATCCACAAATAACTCTCACATTATTTGATAACTTATATATATATATATATATATATATATATAAGCAATTGCATTAATAGAATCCACAAATAACTCTCACATTATTTGATAACTAATATATATTATCCTTGAAAATACATATACATACTCGATCAAATAAATGGCATTATCATATAAAAATAAATAAAATAGGTTGCATGTCATGGTGAGTGTTAAGATAGACCTTCACACATATAGTATTACTCCACATGTGTAAGGATGGCAATAGGTCAAGTACAAAATAGGTATTTATTTTATCCGATTTAATAAATACTCATTAAAAAGTCTAATAGATAATGAAGTGGGTAAGGATAAAAAAAACATTTACCCACTAGTATAGTTTTACGGTATGGTTAACTACTCTTTATCCTATTCATACTCATTAATTTATTTTGATTTTTTTATTAACATATAAGGACTCGATTGCATAAACTTTAAAAAACTAAGGATTAAAATATTTTTTTCAAAAACTTTAAGAACAAAAAAAAACTTATAAATAAATGACAAAAATGCAAAAAAAAAAATTCTAAGGACTAAAAACGTTTTTTTGCAAATTAAAGGGACTAAAATGAATATTTATGATAAATTATTTTTAGCGAGGTATTAAATGGATACTAAATGAATGGGTAAACTGATTTGAGTAGGTATATGGATTGAGTAAAGATTTAAATAATGATTTTTCAATAGTTAATGGGTAGGGTGTTCTTTTTATAAATAGGATTAAAAAAATTAAAGTAATGGGTCGGGTACCCATTCGTCGCCATCCATACAAATCATCCCTATAAAAAAGGGGATTTAGCGACTTTTTTAAACCGTTGCTTATATTTATTAGCAATGGTATAAATCGTCCAAAAAAACCTTGCCGCTAAATCATTAGCAACGATTTTTTGTATACCATCGGTAAATTAATGAAGGATTAATCATCGTTAAAATAGAAAAAATCCATCACGTAGTAATGAAATAAGGTCATGGATTTAGTGACTATTTTGTTAAACTATCATTAAATCCATCGTCAAATGTGAACAACTTAGCGACCGTTTTTTTAGATTCATCGTTAAATCGGTCTCTAATTAGCGACACTTTTAATGACTATTTTAGAAAACCATCGCTAAATGTGATATTAGCGATCCATTCTAATGTTTTTTTATATATTTTCATTTATTTATTTCAACACTAATAAGAAAATAAAATCCATTCCAATTTAACAACTACAATAATGCTATGAAACAGATTTATAAATATTGTGAAACATTTATAATATATAAAATGAAATATATATTGTGATGAAGAGGATACATGTCATAACATATCATCATTTTCATCGAACGCATAATAGTTAGTCTAAGGATCGGTGGGATGATCGGTCGGAGAATCAATGGATGAACTGCCACTTTGCATATTCAGCAACATTTGTTGTATCCGTTACATCATCGCATGTTGCTCTTAAGTATGTTGCTCCAATCAATTTATAGTAGTTAGGAGCGATGTAACGAGCACCTTTTAGTTTCTCTATCTTTTCTACTTGTTTAGAAGAATGAGCCTTCATTTTCTTTCACTACACCTTAATATCAACATGGAACTCGATGTGGTCGAACTAAAAGATGTACTAATGTTAGAGTAATAGTGAGAGGCCTATGACCCAATTTCATATACCCTCTTCCTCTAACTATCTCTTCCTCCAATAGCCTTATTAAAAATCTCGTTCATGTAGATGTCGGGAGATGAAGTACCCTCGGTCTCTAGTTTAGCAACCTTATCCTTAAATATTTATTTGACGATCTCTTATATAATTGCATAAATTTTAATATTAAATAGTTATCTTAATAAGTTATATAAAAGTGACGTACGTATGAAATAATTTTATTAAATCACTTACTTTGAGAATTTTTGCCCACCGATCGATGAATACGTACTTATCATCAACCTTCTTCTTATGAGTCCTCTAGAAAACCTCATGAGCATCTAGTTCATGACCCAACTCATTACTGCTGAAATAAATATAGTTAAATATTTATTGATATTGCAAATAATTATATATATATATATATATATATATATATATATATATATATATATATATATATATATATATATATATATATATATATATATATTTACCATATGTATTGTGTGCTCTTGTGGGTGATCGAACCTCTCGTATGTCTAGATGGATCGGCTCCAATGCCACATGATATATCTATATATAATAAAATTTACCATACATATTGCGTGCTTCCTGTGGGTGATCAAACCCCTCGTATGTCTAGATGGACCAGCTCCGATGCCACTTATCTCACTCTTACGAGTTCTAGACCACCAACTTAGATTGGGCACGAGACTCGGGTTTTGCACATTCCTTATGCCATGCATCCCATACTCCTATGTTGGTTTGGGATGTTTCTTTACTTGATAAAGGAAGTCGAATATCATTTTTGTGTTAGACTCTATGATGCTTTCTTTATGTTTATCTCGATCTCCCACTCCCATTTAAAAGACTTCTAGAAGAATTAAAAATATTTATTAGTATATTTAAATTAACATTAATATTTCTTAATTGAAATATACAATCAATATAAATCTTTAGTTTAC